CTTTACCTTTTCTCTGTCTGTCTATCTCCTTCACATCTGTGAATCACTTGTCTATTTCCCCTCTCTACTTTTTATGTCTCTGATGTTCCTCCCCGGGGTGTGCGATAGACTTACCTCCACGTGGTGCATCCTGGGCAACGTATATTCATACGGCAAAAAAGTTTATTGACTGGCAGTTGACTTCTCACTTTAAACTACCATCACCCCATTGTATGTTATATTCGACTACTTCCACAGTACTCACCTCACCTTTTTTGCCTTTGTGTTTATCTCTTTCATATTTGAACACTCTTCTGTTCCCCCCTTCTCGACTTTTTTCACTTTGATGTTCCTTCCCCTCTGTGAAGCCTGAAGTCAACTAAAGGGCTAATGATAACCACCAAGACGCCTGCCACTTGATTAAAATAAATCTGAAAACATATTATCGTAGCAACATGTTCATCCAATTCAGAAAAATTTTCTAACAAATTTAAAAGACCGATTTGGTAAATATAAATTTACTTGGTAATCAATATGCAGTTATATCAAGTGTGAAAGCAAATGAAAACAGTATCTGCCAAGTAATTGCCAAAAACATGTAACCAGATAATGAAGTAAAAAAATGAATAAACTTAAGAGAATGCAAGAAAAACAGAAATGGGAAAAAAATTGAGGACAAGCGTGAGTTAGACTGGCGAACGAATATCAGCGATACCGCCAAAGGTGCTACGACTGCGAGCCAACATGACAGAATACCTCTGCCCTTTAGAAACATCGTTCTCTGAGAAAGTGAATGAACGGTTCTTCTCGGATTCGCCAACAGAAGCCAACTCATTCGATGATGCCACAAACCGCAGCTTACCCACTTCACCCTCAAGAGTGAAAATGTGCATTGTGTTGGTGCTGCCACTAGTAGCGACTGATCCTGCCACCACAACAATTCGATCTCCAGTCTTCACCAATCCCATGCCTCGGGCATAACCAATACCGGCATTAATACGATTGTCAATATCATCAGACCATTCATCCGCTTTCTCACCTACCAATCAGAAACAAGTTCCATTAAACTATTTAGCCAGTTAAAAGAGAGAGAAATGTTAACATAACCTATTATGCTCATGAGTCTATGATAGTTCAGTTGAACAACTAATATAAAATTTTACTTGTCGAGTACTTAAAACTATTTGCTATCGAGCTTAAAGGAAGTTGCAGAAAATAAAATAAATAATAAAAATTTGAAAAATGGGAGGCTTTTTATAATTGGCTTACAAAAATATTATGATTAAATACGTTTAATGCTGTTATTTTTCCTTTGAATAGTTGATCAAAATTAAGACTTGGGAAACGGCACATCATCATTTGACTTTAAGCAAAATTTTCCACTTAAAACAAGAAAATTTGCGCAAATATTCTAAATGCCCGTGATTACTGTCTTCACAACTAACACAAACAGCATTTGTTGACAGCCTATAATTACACCTGACTAAGCAATCTCAAATCGATTCACGAAGGTGAAGAGGAGAGTAATACTGTATCCATTGATTTAAAATAAAGATTGTAATTCAACTTAAAGCCCAATCCATTGTGCATAAAGGTAATTGATTGGGCTACAGAGGTCGAAATATCAACTTAAATTGTGGGGCAGCGATTCTGTTCAATGGAAGATATTGTTTTGGTGCCATGACAGAGCAGAAGCTACAAGTTATCATTGAGGTAAGGTGTCTCACCATGGCGATGGCCAAAAGATTCCAAACCGAGTGAAGTCACCAGATTGTCCATTTTAGATTATATTTTTGAGAAACTACCTTACATTCTTGGCAGTGCAATTCCTTAGGCCATTCAAAACTCACTTGGGAATTAAGTAAAGCGAGAGACTTAAAATACCACATTGATCTATTTGTTATTTCAGAGTAGCTTGCTTGCTATTGGTTAAGATTTTTAACGTCGTAGAGAATACGAGTACTCATTAAATGTGAAATCGATTTGGTAGCAACAAACCGAGAACTAACTTATAACTTGCAAATATTGTTCTTTCCACATCTCTGCTAATATATACCCCCAATGGAAAGAAATAATCTTTACACATAATCTAGGAAACGCCATAATATCAAAACAAATTGCAGGCTTTATGATAGTTATCATTAGCCATTTAGTTAACATCGAGCTATACGGAGGGGAGGAACATCAAATTCCCAGACGTAAAGGAGACAGACATAAAGGTAGAGAGTAGGGTAAGGTGAGTACTGCGTAATGGTCGAATGTGGCATGGAGTAGGGTCATAGTAGTTTGAAGTCAACTACCGGTTTATAGACTATTTTTAATGTATGAGTATACGTTGCCCAGGGAGGTAAGTCCATCGCGCGCACAGAAAAGGGTACATATCAAATCACCAATCAGGTTGTGCAATTTATGCACACCCCTTCAAATACTTCCAACTTTCACTCTTCCCCCCCCCCCCCAACTCCAATGCCACTTCCTCTGTCTCCAACATGGTATTTAGCATAATGAAATGGAGGGAGGGGCAGTATTTCTAGCACAAAAGCGTAATTATACAAGATGGCTCCTAATGGAATGGAAATCTACCCCTAGAGACGATAGTGATAACTGTTGTCACTTATAGTGTGCACTGAAATAACAACAAGTTTTACTGATAGGATTTTATTATTTAAATATATTTGCAAGAGTGGGCTAGAAGGGGGTTTGTAATTACTCCCTAGAATACTAATATGTGCATGTATGAAAATAAAAGTACACACCATTAGGAGTGACATTCAATCAAATATATTTGAAATTAACCAGGCAGAGTTAAATTATTATGAAAGAGATTAGGTGAGTAATCTACAAGACGACTAAAAAGACCCCACACATTTGCTATCATTAAATGTTGAAGCGTTCAATAAAAGCGCCACATTGTCTACGCAGAAAGAAGTTTGAATAACAAGCTTCTGAAGTGGGAAACTGATGACTAGTGTGGCAAACTCACTATAGCAGTGCCTCATATTATTTTTAATTACCCAGTGGATAGTCTTATCAACAAGTCGAGATCTAACATAAGCTTCATGGGTCTGTGAATTTGACCGGAAAAAATATATCAAGTAGTTCATGCTATTAGTAATTTCGAAATTGCATAGGAGAAAGACTATAATTGGATATCTCATTAAGAATTGAACAGTAGAAGAAACCAACTCACCCAAGAAGCCAAACTTACAATTTCCCTGCCAGGGGTGTGCGATAGACTTACCTCCACGTGGTGCACCCTGGGCAGCGTTTACTCATGCGGCAAAAGTGGCTAGAAACTATCTGACTTCCAAACTGCCATGACCCCACTGTATGTCATATTCGACTTTTTCTACCATTGTGTCTGTCTCTTTTATATATTTGAAACACTCTTCTGCCCTCCCCCCGCCCTCTCGACTTTTTCACTTTGATGTTCCTTCCCTCTGTGAAGCCTGAAGTCAACTAAAGGGCTTCAACAAACTGTTTTCATCCATTTTCATTACTGTTTGTTCGTTTAATCTTAGTCCTCAAACCTACTTACAGCCCTATTTAAATCACTCCCCACACACAAATACACGATTAAACTATCGAATTCGATGTACTCTAATGACCCACTCCATGTGTGTGTGTGTGTGTGTGTGTGTGTGTGTGTGTGTGTGTGTGTGTGTGTGCATTCAGAGACATTCCCCCCCCCATTCGACAGCTACGCATATGCACTGATTGGTAGGACATACTCCTCAAACAATCATAAAGAAAATGCTAAACACCTTGGAGGAGTCGCATTGATGGAATACATAATCGTGTTCATTGAACTCCAAGCTCTTGCTAATTTCGCGCAAAATTCACTCCAAAATATATGATGGAATTAAAAATGCCAAAGGCATAAGGCCCCCCCCCCGATTTTTTACTTTGGTGATTGTTAATGGTAATTACTTTTAATTATAAGTGATTTTCTGAGAATAATCAGAGTGCTGACGTTCTGCTTATGCCTATATAATAGGCACAAAATACTTACAAGAAGTGTCAAGTAGAAACAGAGTTTAAGCGAAGGTTAGATCAGAATCACATGGCGAAACTCCATTATTATTCAATTTTTAAAGTACAAAAGAAGAACGAATTCAATAAGAAAAAAAGGAAACTAAATTGATTCTAGAATCTACTGTTCAATGATACTCAGTTGCGATTTGCGCTTTACAATGTGAGTTATTGGGGATTTGGTTTCTGCAAATTCAATAATAATGGAATGATCTGTTTAGAATTGTTAATTTTCCAAGCCTAAAATAATATTTTACGCATGCAGACACCAAAGATGATTTTTTCTCGTAATTATTATTTTTTACTTTCGCGTTTTAGCTCGCAGCTTTTCTCAGCAATGCGAGATTCAAAAAAGACGCGTGTTGAAAATAGCCAACCACAATGGATTCAAAAAGATTCACGAATGCTTCATCATTTTCATTCCGCTAATCATGCAAACGACAATCACATTGTTAAGCCATAGGCATATATTTACTTTGTCGCAGTTCAACCAGGTTTTGGGGTATGAATTTTTACCAAATCAATCATACACCTTGAGAATTCATTCTAAATATTGACAGGCGTTATGACGAAAAAAAAAATCAACTAGGGTTCTGACCTATTTTTTGTTGAAATGTTTGCGTGGATCAATGTTACGACAGCATCAGCGTTTAAAGCAGAAATAGGATTTTTAATTTTCACCCTTTTCAATACAGTTGACATAGATTTAAGATAATTATGTTTGAAGAATTGGGGTGTGCAACAGATTTACCTCCACGTGGTGCACCCTGGGCAACGTTTACTCATGCGGCAAAAAAGTCTATTACCTGGCAGTTGACTTCTGACTTCAAACTATCATGACCCGACTGTGTGTCATATTCGGCCCCTTCCGCAGTACTCACCTTACCTTCTCTCTGCCTTTGTGTCTGTCTACCTGTCTCTTTTATATCTTTGAATCACTCTTCTGTGAAGCTTGAAGTCAGCTAAAGGGCTAATGATAAGTATCATAAAGCCTGCCATTTGAAATAAATAAATAAATAAATATAGTGCTAATATGGAATAAAATGTTAGAAAATTACAAAGACATATTATAATACGACTTATTAGCAGATTGTACCATGAACAGTTTCTGGTTTGTGGATTAACTCCTTATCTATGGACAAAGGTTAGCTAATAAATATGAATGAAGATTAACTAAATTAACTCTAAGTAAAGGCTAAGTTGGTATGTTGTTGCGCTGGTTGCAAATGCGTTGTGAAGACGTCACGTGAAATAACTCCATTGGCGCATACACATTGAGCAGAATGGACGTACACTGGTTGAGGAAAGGGGAGGGGGGGGGGGGGGAATTGGNAAGGGGAGGGGGGGGGGGTGGAATTGGAGTTTGTTTTTAATGAAAATAAGCGAAAATAAACACACATGTCAATTGAAATTGTTTTTTAAATATCCTAATTTGTAATAATAAAATTTAATTAAACTTATTCGTGCTGAGGCGGAAAAATATTGACGCAATTATAATAACCTAATCAATTTATTTAAGGCAAAATTTACACGTTTATTTATTCATTTATAATGACAAGAATTTGGTGCTCTTATTCAGTCCTAGTGGAGTTTAAATTTTAACAATTAGATGAATAACCAAAATAGAAAAAAGGATATATATATATATATAAGTAGATTTTTGGTCAAATCATTATTTTAAGTAGAATGAAAGAAGTAAAGGTATGCGGCAAAATAATGCTATTACACTGAATTCACAGCACTTTCACGCAAGTTAATAGTGTTAACATTATAAAATGAAAAAAATGCGGACACTGACTCACCCGTGAAGAGGTATGGATGGAGGCCTCTGTAGGCGAGACAATAACGAGCTACATTGATGTCGATCGTGATAGCAATAACCAAGCACGGGGGTCGCGACATAGCAATTGAGATAGCTGACCTGAGAAGACGGAGGAGAGAACAAAAGAAGCTGTTAGCATTTTGATCGAACCCCTTTGGATTATGAGCACATCCACTCTTACATTCCAGTTGTGGTGACAATGAAGATGGCAGAAGCCCCACAACTGTCAGCAGCCTCGACAGCTGAAGCTCCAGTAACATTCTTGATAGCATTGTTTGCCAGCCCTCGTATCATTCGCATATCATTCAACTCATTTCGTGAAATATCGTAGCAGATTGCGCGTTCGGCTTCACGACAGATCTAAATTAGAAAAATAAAGGAAAGGGGAATAATTTTTTAATTTTAATCATGAAAATAGGCGCAACAGTGTTGATAAGCGGAGGTATGGACAAGCCCGGGTATAGAGATAGCTATTCTTCAGTAAAATTCAAAAGTTACTTAGTCGAGTACAAACCTCAATATCATTTCGCACTGATAGCATTGTACCTCACGATTCCTGTGAGATTTTATACTTGCAGTAGTCAGGGGTTATTGATCAGTTGATTAAATCAATTTTCATTTAATTCGGGCTTTATCCACAGGTAATCTCATAAAAGAGCATTAGCGTACTTTTAATTGGTTGAATAAATTTGGTAAATAAATTTGAGTTTATCCATTGATAAAACCAATTCAAGGATAAACAAACTAATTTCACTGTAAGTTATGAGAATGGGGTACACTAAATTGACACTTTTGGGTGTAATGGGAAACAGTAGGTAGGAAAAGATAGCATTAAGAAGATCTAAATTTGTAAGTACATGGAATTCAAAATACAATAATCTTTCGACAAAATTAAGAATGGTCTAATATTATTTATTTTCGGTAGAGCTGGAAATATGTTAATAAAGATCTCAAAGTATTGTTAAATAATTATTAATAACGAACAGCAAATACGTAAAATAAAGCACACGAAAAACTTTGTCCAAAAATTACTTATGTGGGACACGTCATCATTTAACCACGATTAAGCTCCCTGTGTGTACACTTTATCCACAATATACTTACCGAATAAACGTGTTCCGTGATATACGTCTGTTTCCTCTATAGCTGGGCTGTAGCTTAGCTAGTTCTGCGAGTCTAGAAAGATGTAGGAAAATCTGCCACAAAGATTTCTGAGTCAGTCAGGCTTTACTAGTGCTGCAACTCGTTACAAATAGGTGACCCTGAAGTGATTGTCAAAGTCTGACTTAAAACACTCAGCAGAGAAACAATCTCTCACTGGCGTCGCGATTTTCTCTTCGCATCCCCCAATTCACTCGGGGATCTATTCCTGCTCGAATGATCACCATTACCTTACGTCCGCTGCCGTTACCACAACAAGTCAGATCCTGACTTCCGCTCAACAGAGACTCGATCCCTCATCTGGGACGCGATTGTTCCTCATATCGCTCTACTCACCTGATTGCTCCTTTCCACACGAACGATCAGAACCTCAACGGCACTCCAACGCTCTCCTTTCACTCGCTATGACTCCCCCAGAACGCCCTTGGAAACAGGCAACAGCCGGAGCACGTTGCGTTTCCAATGGCCATCCCTACGAGACTCAAGAACCTCGTCCTTGTACCCAATGGAAAATAACAGCCAGAGCACTTTATTCTTCGAAAGCCTACTCTTACAGGTCCCCAAAACTCCAACTCACTACTGCGTTTCAACCGACAAGCCGAGACTAATCGTCAGGAAAGCACCCACCGGAAGATTTCTACCATGGATTGTCGCAAACACCCATTCAACAAGAACGTTGACCATCGATCGTTGCGTCTGGAGAAAAATTCAACAGGACGCTCGTCAGTGGACCAAACACTGCCTCACTTGTCCAGCCGCCAAGGTCCACAAGCATGCACGAAGTCCACGATCATACTGCCCCCCACTCCAACAATCCCGTCTCAGCAGTTCCAACACCTGTCCCACCTCTACCCAAAACCCTGTTACACTAAGGCCGAAGATCTACCTTCCCCTCTCAACTGATTGATTTTGTACATTAACTAATTATCGAGCGTTTTCTTTACCTTACAGCTCCCTACAAACGCTCTAGTGGGTGAGTATTGTGGGACACGTCATTGCATGCCCGCACGCCAGGATTGGGAGGTGCGACCGTAAAAACAGTGGCCAATCAGTGGCCTCTGTTTGTTTAACCTAAACCGCTCTCCTGATCATGATTAAGCTCCCTGCGTGTACACTTTTTATCCACAAGAAACTTATCGAATAAGGGGTGCGCAATAGACTTACCTCCACGTGGTGCACCCTGGGCAACGTATTCTCATACGGCAAAAAGTCTATAAACTGACAATTGACTTCTGACTTCAAACCACTATGGCCCGACTATTGGTCATATTCGACCCCTTTCACAGCACCCATTTTACCTTTTTTATGCCTTTGTGTCCGTCTGTCTGTCTCTTTTACATCTGTAAATCACTCTTTTGTTCCCCTCTCGACTTTTTGTCTCTGTGAAGCCTGAAGCCAACTAAAGGGCTAATGATAACTATCAAAACGCCTGCCATTTGATATAAATAACTTATCGAATAAACGTGTTCCGTGATATACGTCTGTTTCCTCTATAGCTGGGCTATAGCTTTGCTAGTTCTGGGAGTCTAGCTAGATGTAGGAGAATCTGTCACAGATACTGGGAGTCTAGCTAGATGTAGGAGAATCTGTCACAGAGACCTCTGAGTCAGCCAGGCTTTACTAGTGTTGCAATCAGCTACACTTAGCCCGATTAGGAAATTCAATTAATGAATTTTCTATTAAATTTAAGAGCCAGAAGTGTCGACTCACATTATCGACAACATCAACTGTTTCGGAAGGAAAAGTGCCCCTAGAAGTTTCGATTGTCAAAATAAGTCCATCAGCACCATCAAGAACAGCATTGGCGATGTCAGAGGCTTCAGCACGAGTTGCCACCACTTTACAAGTCATTGACTCAACCAATTGTCCTGACAAGAAAACCGGCTTCTCAGAAACATTGCAATTGCCGATAATGTACTTCTGAAGTTTGAAAATTTTCTCTTGTCGATAGTGCATAGCAAGAATGCTTCGGCAGATCACCACACCATCAGACGACTCAATAATCTCTCGAAGGCTAAATTAGATCCAATTCAAAAAGAAAATAACGACATTCTTACTTTTTAATCGATTCTTGATTTTCTAATTTCGCAAACACTTTGGTTTTTTCGGGAAGGTGCATACGAACTTCTTGTATCATTGCCGCATTTTCAGAAAAGTTGGTAAAGACAAAATCGGCCTAGTTAAGGAAATTAGAACTCCTATTCCGATTCTTTTTACCTCGATATCAGAAGCAAATTTGAGATCCCTCATATAGGAAGCGTACACAGACTCTGGATTAAGACGATTTCTTGGTGGATAAACACGTTTGAAACTTCCTAATAGGCCACCTTCCTCTACAACACAGCTGATGCAGTCGAAGCCAATATCGCGAATGTAGAGGGCGATTTGACCGTCTAGGTAAATTCGATCTCCTTTGCGAAGGCTATGAATAAGTTTGGGAAAGTATTCTGTGTCGATAAAAATCATATCTTTTGTGCAATTATTCCTGTACTTCTCATCTAATGTCAAAGTGACACGAGCTCCTTCTTCTAAATTAACTTCGTAAGCTAGTCCCTTGAAAAAATAAAAAACGCTGTGATAGTAACAACAATAAACCAAAGCAAAAAGCAGCGCAATAAAGCCAATAATTCAACTAACCTCCCTAAAATTTCCAGTACTCACAGGAGCACCGCTGATATCAACTGCAATAGCAACAATAAATGTATGATCAGAATCTTTTTCAATATTTCGAATGGATTTTACAACTTCTTTGCAGACATCCCTCGAAAGTATCGTTGGATCAATAACTAAAATATTCATTCCAACTCTGATCATTTTTTCAAGATCTTCTGATCCACACCAAGACTTGCCAAGAGTGCATCCAATGGGAGTTTGTCGGATATTATTAGCAACTTGGTCAATATCAAGTTGAGACATATAGCTGAGGTGAGAAGAAGGTTTCCATATAAATCGGCTGGCATTGACACTACCATTTTGATCACTAGTTGCGATTATAGGAATAATGGAAGACATCTCAACCTCAGTAGGAATCAGTCAAGTTGTGCGGTACAATCACTAGTAGTACACATTAAACTTCTCAAGGTCGTTTCAAATGGGAAAAAGCTAAATTCTGAAACGTAATTCTTCAACTATTACTTACATCCGAATCCTTGTAGATCTGTAGGTTTAAATGTCTATTTTACACTCATGGACATTGATAGGATAGGATTTTAAATTTTCTTCAAATCATAACATTGCAATTTGCACTAGTCAGGATCATTTTTGTGAAAACATAAGTGTTGTACTCTAAGAAATTCTGATATAAATGACGAATCTCTTTTAAATTTTTTTACCGAAACTTAGGGATTATGGAATCGCTATTTAAACCACCAATCTTTGATATTTTTCACAGTTCCCTTCAGGAATTTCCTGAAATAATCCCATTCATAAGCAATTATTGACTTTTTTATTACGAAGGAAATACGGATTCTAATCTTCTTGAGAGTTTGCAGTTGTATATTAACACGGGTTGTCCGATATGCTTTCATATAATAGTAGAATGCTCAGATACACAATAGTACAAGAGTACTTCTTTTAAAACTTTAGAAAAGTTTGAACTATTTTGTCGAAATAATGCACATTATCCAATACTCACTCAATGATTGAATAAAACAATGGAATAGTTGAAGGAGTAGCAGGCTTTAACTTTCCAACCAACTATTTATTGATAATGTAACGCTGCCTATAATGGCGTCGACTAATTTCTTCAAAATAGTTTTAGGGTTTTAACAATATTCTTAATATTTTATAATACTTGACATGTATAAAAGGTTTTAATAAATCCTTATATTTCACTCTCTGCTATTATTCATGCCCGTTTAAATGATGACAAATGAATAAAGTGACTTTCCTCGGGTCATATGATATTAATCGGTAAATATGTACATAGACGGGATGACCATTATAGCTTACTTTACCATTCCTTAATTCTGACCATAATAAATATATTCTTTTACACAGTTAATAATTGTGAAATACTCCGGCCTGGGGAATTATTACTATCGAATCACAAAATGATAACCATAGGGAAAAAATGGTAAATCCAAAATTCACGCTATGTGAGTTAATTTATATGTTCCGAAATTTATTATACGCTTCTATCTAGGCACTTTATTTGAGAGACCGTAATTATGAAATTTGCTACCTTTTCATAGTTGTTTCTATATGTTTTATAATTAAAAATGTAAATTTACATTCTGAAAGATCTGGTATTGGCATTTGATGGGATAATATGAACGCTAATGATATATTTATTTCTTAAAATCTTGCATGCAAAACAAATAGTCCCGATTTAGACTAAAATTTAAGCACAAATAAACAAATCACTTAGGTAGTTTCGAATCTGTTTGTCTTTTCTTTTCAAACTTTTACAAGAAAATGATTTCTTTCGTCGGTTAGAGCAACTACGAATTCTGCATATATCTGGATTTGAACAGGTTTTTTTGCCATCAAAATCAAATTATATAACAATCTTTTTATCTTGGTTAATTGGAGATTGATGAAAGATAATTTTGAATCAAAAGGGCAGAAATACTTTTTATTAATGCAGTCATTGGTAAATTGTTTTTTTCAACGAAGTTAAACATTTGCTTAATATGTTAACCATTTTATCCCTACATTTCATTTTTGGTCAATTCAAATTAATTTTCTTAAAGTGAGAAATATAATAACATAAGTTCACAAGCCTGTTGCTACAGAGAGATTAGATTTAGAGGAGGGCTTGTCAACGTATTGATCAGAATGGGCACTAAGAAGCTCGTCCTGGAAGTACACTCAGTTAATCCTCCTTCTTTTGAATGCGGAGGCAGTTTCGTCTATTTTCAACACTTATGTTATTTATTGTTATTGAGCCACATGTCTTAGTACTGCGATTTTTGTTATCTTTTTAAAAATCCCTGACTTTTCGATCAGAGCATATAGACATATATGTATAACGTTCCTCCTTTCCACCCCCCTTCAAACCCCATAACTTTAAAGTCTCTATAAAGTACTAGCCACGACATAAGTTAACTTGTAAACGGTAGTACTTTCAAAAAATGACAGATCCAGTTTCATTTCAGGTATTGCAAACTCCTGAATGAAAATAGTGCCATCGGGAGGTAAAATTTTGAAAATTTTTCTGCTTACACTCTTTCACTTATTTCCCCTGCAAAAATCGGATAAAAGGCGGATTAGTTTTTCGTTTGCGTGACATTCTGCATAAATTTTAGTCGACAATTACGCATAGATAACGCCACCCGGATAGCAATACATAAAAGGCACTTTGGGATTATTCCTATTATTCCCACTCAGTTATATTTTCATCATGACACTGGTGTTTATCACAAATTTTCTTGTTCTCTGCTTCAAGCTATTGGCTTTTATATTACTTAACTACATCATTGAGACTGCTATTGCGATATTTTATCATTTTCTATGATCAGACCCATAAAATATTTTCTAATGTGATAATAGCACATCATTGATTTCTTCAGCCCTAGTCACAGCGACAGGAATTGTCTCTATTCGGTACGCAAGCAGTTGCGTGTTCAAAGTAATAAAATGTTTCCAAAGCGTGCTCAGGCGGTAGTTGTTAAAGATAAATAAGTCGTATTATTTTAGGATTTAGTCAGTAGGTAGTCGAGCTTCTCTGAGCATTTGCTTCCTGAATACATTTCTTTTTATTTCCTTTAAAGTTCAGGGTCTGTCACTTTGATCTCCAAATAGTTAGAAATATTTTCATACTAAATTTTAATACTGATCATGCCATTTTGATAAATCAATCTCCACTCATTTCAGATGATTCCTAATACTTTGGGTTTGAACCTGCTAGAATTTGTGAGCAATGAATTTTAATACTATTTTTGTTTGATATTTGATGTACAACTGATGTAGTGTAAATTTTGATTGCCTAAAATAAAAAATAATTATGATCACCTTGATGGTAGTTTTAATGTTAAAATTGTTTTCATTGATAATGTTAATAATTTACTTGTATTGAAGCTATTACAAACATCTCTCATTGAAGTATTTAAAATGGACCATTATATATTTAATGCTATAGTGTGACCTACTATAATCGTCCGCACCGATTTTTCTGTCTGTAGTCATCTGTGCTAGTCGGTTGTGGGGCGCGCTTTATTGTTCATGTAACTTATACGTATTGTTATTCCGTAAGTTGATTCGACTTAAAACCTTGTCCCAGTGCAGTAGCCTATTTACAGGAACTTGTCATTCCTAGATAATGAACTCTTCAAAATACATTTTATATTCTTTAAAGGACCTTATATGGAGTTCTTTGGGTTCACGGAGTGAGGTGAAATTTTGAAATTGATTTTAAAATATAAATTAGTTTGACCAAATCATCGCATCAGCATGGAAAACTATAGCCGATGGTGGTTATCTGAAATATAAACTCGAAAATCCTCCAAATATGAGATTCTTTGAAGCTGGGCCCATGCGAATATTAGTATTGGTTAGGATTAGTATTTTAATTAATCATTCTAGGTTCTAAAGAGTCGATTTAATAATCGCAGAGAACCGACCCCTTTCAAAATGGTTGACGAACCAGTATCGGAGGGCATATTCAATTTCACCAAGATCAAACCAAATGAAACCCTGTTTCATTTAAACTTTAAGGAAATTGAAGATTGTGTAAATTGTCACAAACTAATTTTGTGTTTTATAAATTTAGGATGGGAAAATTATTGCAAATGCCAGTCCATTTGAGTTTTGTCACTCCCTTATTGTGCCGAATTGTGATAAGCTATATAATCAAGTACTTAGGAAACTTCCTCTTCATTTAGCCCTGAAAGTTATGCTCCTCTCAGCCACTGAGTAAGTTTGTATTTGGGGAAATACTTGCCACATAGTTATTTGTGTCTGGGTTTCAACAGCCTTCTCGCCTACGCGTCTGTCAATCATCTACATTTCCATCTTTGGTATTCAACTCATCGTCTTTATGCCTCTGTTTGTGTAAGTATGGAATTTGGATTAACAGTACCTCTAGCCCACTCGAAGGAAAGAGTGCTTACCGCACTACATGGAATTGGATTTTCACCCTGTGGATAATTTCGTTTTCGAGTTTAACTCGGACAAGGACTTTCAGACGACCTTTGAGTAAGTTCACCCTTTCTTAATGTGCATGTCGTTTATTTTTTTCAATTACACCATTTGTCCTTATTCCTGTGAAGCTTCGAGCTCCATGGCTATAAAAAGACGAGGTTGTTGGTAGAAAATGAAGGCAACTGCGGATTTGGAATCCGACAACCTCGGTCTTTATTTACAAAAACTCGAGAATTTGGAGTGAAGGTCTGGGAGCAATTGGAATCAATCAGCACACAGATTAGTCAGATGATACTTTGTTTCATCTTACCAATAGCACTATCGTAGTCGTATACTTATTAACTTTAGCCAACAATATTTTCTCCTTTGCTGGTTGAGTTTACATTCGAAAGTCTGATGTGAGTGGCATGGTAAGGACACCTTTCGCTTTTAAACTTGAAGCCTTTAAAGATCCTGCAATTGGAGTTGTTGAATTGCATTGTATTCGTAGTACTTTAATCTTTTCCACGAAAATGTGTTTTTATCTTTTCTCCGAAGTATTCGTTCCACCGTTATTATGGTTCAAACATACCTGATGCCGAGCTCATATTTCCTTAATGTTGCTAGCCTTACCTCATAAGTGATTCCCCATAGGACTTCTTCGTACTTCCTATCGATTGCTGTTGGATTTAAGAGGAGAATTTACTGTTAATTCATGAATTATAGGAAATGTCATTTCCAAATTTGTCTCTTCTCTAGACGCCTATGGAAAGTGATAGAAAGGTGCCAAGAACTACAAATAGCTCACAACCTCTTCGCTGCAAGGAATGCGTCTGGAGTTCTAAGGGTGGTGTTGTGGCCTCGACGCTCGGCATTTGAACCAAAGGCTTGTCTACGACACTTGTCGGGAGAACCTCCTGAATCATCTTCAACATTAGCTGATTTTGACGTCGCCGTTGCTGAACTCGCCGGTATGCTTGTTGTTCCTGACGCTTCAACAGCCCAAGAACTGACCTCCTCTCTTGATCGTCTTCTTGAAGTTTACATGAAGGAGAAATTGGAGAAGCACCTGATGTCCAAACTTGAAAAGGCTCTTCAATTATTGTAGGATGCTTTTCCATACTAAGTGGTTAAATTGTAATTAGAGATAAATGAACTGATTGGGACCACCATTTATATATTTTAAATATTCTACAGTCCTGTGGTATTCTTGTATTCATCTAATTACTAATACTAACTCTTGAGGCAAATATTTGCCATAACTGCTCAAGCAGACATTGATTCAGTTCACCAATGCAAATGCAAGTACCTACGGATAATCTCATTACTCTATGCATTCCTATTATATTTTCAAGAATTCTAGCAATAAATTCTCTTATCACAGTTACCACTTATCTCCTTCTCAATGTGAATAAGGTTAGAGGAGAGGGGAGGCTGGTTTGATCAATTTGCCAATTTGTTTAAGAGGCTAATTGAAACCAGTTGACAGCAACAAGATTGGACGCATTTGTCTGGATAAAACGGTCAACCTGATAATCAATGTTTGAAAATAGTAAATGCTATAGCGTAGTGAACTCTTCTTTAAACAAAATGAGGTTTAAAAGGCTTTCGGTATTCTAACTCCACTCTCTTTATCCCTTGCTGAGTGGTCCTGTGCTTAGATTCGGCCACGTTTGAAGTATTCAAAGTTTGAACAATCTTTAACTTAAATCGTGACTTAATTGCTAGTAGATACGCTTAACCAATTCCATCACTGGCCCGCATCTCTAAGGTCGGTCTTGTTAGGAAAACTCGCCTTCTTTGGCAGGAGTTTCAATTGGTGGCACGACTTTGCTCGAATTTCCACTAGTCCTAACTAGCTTCAGTAAATGAGAGGTAGTTGGTCGCAACTAACTCTATGGATCCCAATTCTATTCCAATTTTAAATTCATAGCAGTAACGAAATCTAATTAAAGAGCAGAAAGGTCATAAAAAACGTTTTATTGAAGCCTTCATAGCAAATTTTGAAGCTATTACAATTGCGGTATAAAAAGGGAATGGGCAAGGGAGAAGCATAGCAAAATGTAGATTACTTTTTAATATGCATAAACACGAATAAACCTAGTATTTTCATTTACAAACTTTGATAACACTGAAAATGCGCACACACACTCTAAAGACTGTTATCAAAAGCTTCACGCAGTCTTGAAGGCGAGCCTCTGAAACGAGCCGGTGTGTCCCCGGCAAAGAGTCCCAAGTTGTCGCCAAAGGGCGAATTGTTCGACTGAGAGTTGGCGAGCCGTGGTGGACTTCGTGAAGGGGAGAAACCGGACATTCCGCCGGCAATTAATCCACTTCCTGGTTCGCCGAAGCCCTGACTCCAGAGACGTGGGGCGGGTCCGGCGAATGGAGCTGCTCCACCACCATTTGGAATGGATGGAAGGCCCTTTTGTTGGGCTGTGAATCCAAAGCCTGAACCGGTGAGACTGCGTGTCACAACTTGGGCTATAATTAGAAAAAAAGCATTTGAATTTGTTTAGCCAGTAAGATTACTTCTTTACGTTTCATCTCCAACTAACGGAGACTCAGCTCTCGGTCCTTAAGCTGTTGATCGTTTTCCGCGATATCTGACACTTGGATTTCACGCTCTACTTTCCTATTAGTTCGCAGTGTCGACTTACTGGTTGAAAGGTAATCTTTTCCCTTTGATATTAAGGATAACACGTCTATCAACTTCCAATCTATCTTGCAGTGGTGGAATTCGTGAGGTTAGCAAGATCAATGGCTTAACTGCATTAGTCTCTTTAAGGTAAACCCCATCCTGCCATCGATATTGTGTGCTTGAATAAATCTCCTCATCATTTAAACATTTAACAGACCATACAAACTATAGGGCGATTCAGATTCCAGAAAGAAACGGAAGTATATTAAAGGTGGCATTTTTAGGAAGACTAGGTGCAGAGAAGTAACCATATGAAGCCTCTAAGTACCACTCCTCTCTTGGGGAGGTTTACCAGCACTCTAAAGAGCAAATAATCGGAATTCGGTGCACGGTGGCTTGCCAACCACTAAGAACAGCTAGCAGGCTTTAAGGATGTGAACCTCAGCAATTTCACTGAAAACTTGAGTTGTGGGTGTTCTAGCAGAAAAGAAGGTATGAAGCATGGCTTTCCTTCACTGAGAAGTGAATTTGAAAAAATAAAACGGAGAGCATAAATGAATCGGCTCTAAAGCATAAAGGTTTTGACTTACAGGCCACAATAAGTAGAATGGTAAGGAAAATGAGTAATAAGAGATGAAGCCAAGGGAGATTAATCCAGAAACTCCCACTGTCAGAATCCTCTTCATAATCAGCATCACTTCCAATTTCACCAGCATGTGTACTTCTTGTCTGAACACGAATTGGCACTGTGATATGTTGACCAGTCACTTTGAGACTCAGCACAACTTCAACCACCGCATCTGTGGCTGTAAGACACAACGATGCAGCAAATTAACACAAGGTAGAAATTTCATCTTTAAAGACATGGACCTACAATTACCTGTCTTAGTTGGAAGAGTTTTGATGCCAACAGACCAGAGAATACTATTTCCTAGAGCCTGTTCATACGACGCTTGCGCCTCATTCTCCATCATTAGACTGAGGTTACGGAAAAGACTACCCCAATTTGAGGTACTGCCCGTTTCTCGAACCATTCTCTCAATAGCAGTTTTCACAACTTTGGTCGAAGTAACTGGTTGCGGAGCGTAACTAATAGCCAACAAATCCGGGCGCTGGGAACGAGCTTTTAGACCCCTCTCATTACTTCCGTCCATACCCATCTGATCCAATGTTGCCGGAGGAATGAAAATGAGCAGATCAGCCTTTGGAGATCGTGAAGTTAAGAGAATGGGTTCTGGGCTGCCAAGATGCAGCGAAGGGACAATAAGTCTAAATGCTGGAATCAAAAGTAGTTCGGATCGAGAGATAACTTCATCGGCAGAATTTCCACAGTTACCCTTCATTTCAACTACAAGGCGGGAGTTACTTGGAAGGATTGCAAGTCTGTAATATTCACTAGGCTCAGAGGAGCGGACAGAGCAAGTCCATGAACCTGCCTCATTGGGAGAGGGTATCATTTCCGTATAGAAATCGGTGGATTGTGCAACCGCGGGATCAGACATAAGAGCCAGGTCAGAATCGACAACAACGTTGGCAGCTCTGGCAATGCGTTCCGCGAGGAGAAATCCACGCAACCAGTTCGGAAGGATGGCCCATTGTTGGGGTTCTCCATTACTTCCACCTAATTCCAAACGAGCTGAGCAGGTCAATGGCGATATAGCTGAGAGATGAGAAAGCATCAAACCAGAAGAACACGAACTAGAAAAGAAATACTTGTCAATATGAACGCACTTCAGGGTGATGGCGTTTATTCTATAAAGTGCAGATAATGTAACATTAAGGCCGTCCTACGACTCTATAGTCACAGGACTACCATAAGACCACCAACACATAAATAACTGTACCAAAATGAGCACATTAGCAACAAGCAAAAGTCAACGGGTGTTGGAAACTAACCTGTCAGAAATAGAAGCAGTTTTCGAAGCAAGTTTAACGTGAATAGCAACTTCTTGAGTCGATTCAAGTCCAACAGGCATGGTGGATGATTTGACCTGTACTTCCTCACTAAATTTCGAGCAGACACTCGACAGGGTCAACTTTCCGAGTATGGCGATTTTTGAGCCTGTTGGAGTGAACTGTAAGTGCACATTACCGGCTCGAAGAGGGAGTAAAAACTTCGATGCATTATCGATCCACAAAAGGGTAGGATCACTTGATGACCACACGCCGTCACCTTGTGGAAGAGGTGGAAGACATGCCCACTGACCAACAGTAAACTCGGAGACTCCGTTGATGGTCAGTAGAGGTCCAATAGGAATGGTAAGATAGCTTGGTGCAAGCTGGGTAGATGCTGCGTGGCTCATTTTAAGGATTGTGGCAGATTGAGTCTGTGAATCAATGCTTGCATGAAGAGGTGGTGTTAGGCGAAGAAGCAGTTGTCCTCCAATCTGACCCGCGTTGGGGTCGATCGAGAAGTCGAGAAGACCCGAACGATGAGCTTGTAGTTGCAAGGAGAGAAGATTCTCTAGAAATAAGAAGGTATGAATTAGCGGATGCGATAATTAAATTTAGCCAATAAGTAATCTCACAAAATGAGACGGAATAAACAGGCAGTAGGATAAACAATGTGAATCCATATTAGCTTTAAGCTCCCCTTGGTCAATGAACTCAAATCGTTTAACCTCTCCGATGAGAATGTAAAAATCCGCAAAACCTTTTATTCGTCGTAATTAATGCCATTGGCAAATCCATTCTCCGGATAGGCACCAATGGGCACCGAACCTGTGACTTATGACTTCAAGAGGGGTAGGTGGTAGACTTACCTCCACATGGTGCGCCATGGGCAACGTATACTCATGCGACAAAAAGTCTGTAAACTGGCAGTTGACTGTATGTCATATGCGACCACATCCACAATCCTCACTTTCCTTTTCCCTGCCTTTGTGTCTGTGTCTCTTTTACATCTGTGAAACACTCTTCTGTCCCCCTCTAGAATTTCACTCACTTTGATGTTCCTTCCCTCGGTGAAGCCCGAAATCAGCTAAAGGGTTAATGATAACTATCAAAACGTCTGCCATTTGAAATAAATAAATGACACCACGATAGTTCATGTTGGTATTGATTTGGACCATTCGTTTGATACAATTTGTGAGACCAGAAAAAATTATGTGAAGCTACAATTACCAGTAACTGAGGGCCTCTCTTTTGAGCCAATTTATCCTAAATGAAGATTCTGCCAGAAGCGCTAATACATTTTCAACTTTTAAAGGGATCACTTTCCATGCTTAGTCTATGAATAAAAAACAACATTCAGAGGAGACACCATGATTAAACAACCTATTAATAAGCATGCACAAGACGTCGTTCATTTACCTAGTTGAAGAAATATGATCAATTTTAGAACGCCCACTTTTATTGTACGATAAATTATAGCACAATACTTGAAATATAGTGATGATGATAATCAGTCGGGCGTTATATCATAAGCCACAACAATAGTTCTCAAACAGAAGTCTACATCAATATAAAGGATGGGTAGAACTCCTACATGCATAGGCTAGAGTAAGAACAAATTGATTTGAACAACTGCAGGTAGGTATTGTAAGGTGGATTGAAGAGTGAAAGTTACGAAAAAGGATGCTCAATTCCATGACGCGCATTCTGCATATAGAGGTTATCATTAGGATTTTTAGTTGAGCAACCAATAGAGATGGACATTTTCGCTGTCTATGACAATTGAATAAATACAAAAATGCGATCGAAGAAGAAATCAAGTAAAATTACGTCATTCTTAGGAAATTAAAAAGAAACCACCTCCTTCCAATCTTTCTAAAATCATGCAGTGAAAATATAAACAGCAGTTGGCAAGATGGCAAATCGCGGCTCACCAGAAACAGCATCAAAAGTTTCACCGATTTCGTCATGCAGTGATAGTGCCACAGGATATGGCCCACCGAAAGGAAGGCCCCCGCTACTTTTCAATAGACTAATTGGTCCAGACAGAGCACGCGACAGGACATAGTGTGGTGGCTTAACGATGACATCCAACGCGAGAGACTGGTGACTTCGTTCATTACGTTCTGAGCCACCAGCAATAGCAGATCGATAATCAATGCGGAGACGGCAGCGACAGGCATTAAGACGCCAGTCAGACCAAACACCACAACGATCGTGGCTACCGGCTTCTAGTTGGCCGGTGGAGGAAACACGGAGCATAGTAGTTGGAGAGTTGCTTGGACATTGAATTGAATATTCGACAACGCCTTCCATAAGACTAAAATTAATATACGACAATAAAAATGAACTGTTTTTACTGTGCGATTCGCTCAACTTGCAAAATCCAAAAAGGACTACTAAACGTTTCCTATGCAAAGGTAAAGGATGAATGGCCTTAAAAGAACCAGCCATTATGTCAATTTACACACAGATTCAGTCCCCTTTTGAGCCCCTTCACTCTGTTTTGCATAGGTACAAAATTTCAAGGTGTTCATTAAGTTTGCTCGTAATCTAACCGCTTCCAATTGATCTTTGCTACTAATTACACGACTCACATCCTCTCCCACTCCTATCATTCAACGTACCTAATTCGCTCCGATTACATATAAGTGAAGCTTGTAAAGTGTAGAAACACCATCGTCAGGTGTTTCTCCCATTTCTACTTCAGCGCCGCGTAAACTCTTTTCCCCAAAAAACATAAATGTAGTGAATAAACTGGGAAAAATAAATAATAACTACAAGAAAAAGGTGGACATTAGTTTGAGGCTAAATGTGCACCCTGCAGTTGGGATTATAATGGGGTCACCTTGAGGGTTTAAATAATAAATAACCGGTTAATGCCAAATCCTACTGCTGTTAAGCAATTTGTCGGGTTAAATTTCAAATTCTACAAAGATGAAGCATTTAACCATTCTCCCAAGGAACTATCGAGAGAAGCGTTTGTGAAAAATGTCTCATCTGAGAAATAAACTTATACAATTGCGCTTTAAATATTTAATATAGATTTAAATACTAGCAAATTCTTGCATTTTTTGTTGGCTCTTAGGGAGCTGATAGGTTTCATAGCTTATTACAAATGAGTAATACTGGACGAAAGAACCTACACATGTTGAGGCAGTGTAAGCTGAAGTCGGCTATTTGGGGAGACCAATATGCGTGGATTTTGATGAGGTGGGTTAATCAAACTCAAATGTGGAATAATTGTGAAGGTGATCTCAGCAGAGAGCTGTTTGACCGGTTGAGAAGATCTCGAAGTTGGATGAGATGTCAACTGTCCCATTAGGGCATCATCGTCAGTAAATACGGTCAAATGCAATTTCACTTGACCGGGTGTCACACCGACAAGTACCATCCCAGAAGACAAAGTCGTCTAAAAAGGAAAAATGGAGATCAATGAAAAGGAGGGATATTTTTGTTGAACTGGGGTTGCGGCATATAGCTGATGACGTAAAAGCATGATTACAACTTGGCAACAAGAAGCGCTTATTTTTGGTAACAAAGAGTTGGGCATCGAATTAGTTAAATCCCTCATGAGCATAAACTTAACAATCCATATTTTTTAGGGCTCATGAGACGATATCTTCCAGTTAGGAAAACATAAGTTCTTGTTGCTATAGCGAAAACTTCCTACAGTTCAATTCAAACTATGTATAGTAAAGCGCAAAATCATATTAATTCCGTCAAGAAAAATATCTACCAGTTGTTCATTACTATAACTTCAGCTTGGCACTACAGCAATGGCAAAATGGTGTCTGATAACAGATTACTCTTAGAAATGCAGTACATTTTTGGCCAAAAAACTATCGACTAAGCCTCAGCACTTCCAAATAGAAAAAAGCAGAAAGCCAAAGAAAGGAAAGTGGGAAGGAACAGTCAAGTGGAAACAGAAAACTGAACAAGATAAGTTCTGTTGAAGTAAAAAAACATTGGAGATTTTCGTGCAAAAAAGTGGCTAAGACTTTAATACACTAGCTGGAAACAAGATGCTTCAACATTGAAAGCTTTCAAGCTTATTTAGGAATCTTTCGATACGCATCTTGACTCGAGAGCACCCTAAACTAATGGGGGGAGCCATTTCGCTAACTAAATCATTAGCACACAGTAACCAGGTTACAGAAAGTAGCACTAGAATGCAAATGCCACAAAAAACGAAAGCACTATATTATCATTAATGTTATTATACGCTCTTAAGAATACTTTTGAATACATTGTAAATGAATTAGATAGGATTAAGGGAAGATTTGGCGTTTCATCTCACCTAACATTCGAAAATGATGCGAAGCTGAACGGCAAGGCATCTCAAATTTCCCGAACACCTTTAACCCCCCCCCCCCCCCCAACTAAGACTCTAAACTGAATTTCAAGCGGCATAATACCCTATATAAATAAACAAATCTTTAAAAGGGCACTTACATCGTCAGGATCAACATTGAGTTTACTGAGCCAGTGGAACAATTGTGCAGGAGCACTGGGCATTGGTGGGGATAAACGCCAAGCAAAGTGTAGTGGAGGTCGTACATCAGCCATACCCATTGGGGTAACAGTTAGTTCATTTCCGCCCAACGTAGCAATTCCTTCAGCCCAAATTGGAACACCACCAAGACTCGTGTTTCCATTAGGTGAAGCAACGAGAATACGTACCTCACTACCACTACCACTAGATGTCAATGGGAGCGGACAACCAATTCTAATTCCCGAGAGGGCAACAACATTCACTCGGCAGGAGGCCTGAGAAGAAAGACTTTTCGGGGGAGGAGTAAGGCCCCAGGCCTCGAAATCCCTGGTATCTAGACCCGCATAACCAGAGGAGCTAGTCGTTTTGACGGAAACTGAAGCGCTGCCAACTTTGCCCAACTCTGCGCGAAGAAGAATTCCTTCACCATCTTCCCCCACTTCTGTAAAGCTTAATTTCGGTTGTCCAGGTCTCTCGGTGGAAACTTCAAAACTCAGCGACCTCGAGGATGGACCACCTGAAGTTGTAATTTGATGTGCAGCACCCAAGAGAAGGTTAAAATCGCAAGGAATTAAGCTTAGTGGTGCGAAGACCTTAAAAGAATAAATGTTAAAATCAGATAGTTTATAATAGGCTCGAAATCGCAGAAGCTCCAAAACTTACATTGACAGGCTCTATATTGCTAGTCACATAACCAGAAACGGCTTTAAGCTTCGAGAGACCCAGAGCTTGACCGCAGATAATAACTTTTGCAAGACCTGGAAGGTTGCCAGTACTTGGCCTTGAGAGCCAATATGAGCCTTTTGAAGTTTCTGCGGAGTCTTGACAGGTAAAAGTGACTGACTGATCACCCTCAGGGGATGCAGCAGTCACGTGCAAGTCTAAGAGATTCACGAATTGAGCAGACAGTGCTGTTCCCTCACTATCGAATGCACGGATATAAACCGGGGCTTTTGAATTCACTTCCATTTGAGCGGGAGCGTAGAGTCGAAGTGAACCGAGACCCACTACTGAAACTACACGTTCATCATAAGCAGGTGCAGTTTTGGCAGACTCGTGTCCATAAACCGGTTCCGCAAGGAAACAGAGATCAGTGGCTCTAATAATCACTTTGCCTTTACATTTGGGATGTAGGACGAAGTCTCGTTGGGATTTTAATGCCTCCGATGACAGACAGGCTTGACCTACTGCTTTCGAACCGGAGAGAATTTCAAAGTGGAAGAAACCCGACCCATGGGAAAGGTGGACATTGGTAGAAGCGTTCGGGTGGAGCAAAAGTTGGAAATCATCCAAGGGTTCAATAACAACTTTAGGAGCCATTTTAAGATTTAAGAGGGATTCTAGATCAGTGGTTTGTTCTCCCTTGTGTTTGGCTGCCACTTTAACATGCATTAAACCTGCGGATTCACCTAGAATTTTCGGCGTGATTATGAAATGAGGTCGAGAAGGCGAAATGGAATCTCCGGTTTGTTTAGATCCAAGAATTTTCGGGTGATAATCAATGACAAGATTTTCAGCTTTATCTCTGTTACCGACAGTAATATGAGTGCTCATTTCAATTGAATCTACACCAGACAATTCAAGACCAGAGAAACCCTTGATGACCACTTCCACGTTCAACGGGGCATTGTTAGAAAATGGAATCTATATGAGAAAAATGGCATTAAGCGTTAAAATAAGATACTTACAAAATCGTCTGAATTGCCAAAAGATCGGTTGATAATTGGGCATACGGGAAAGCCCTTAGGGAGAGTGGGCAAATCCAAATGGGGAAGCAATTCAATTTTTGATGGAATGTCGCAAATTACCCTGAGACAAAAAAAACAAGTTAATAAATAACAAAGGGCTCTAGGATCATCAGTAGAGATGGGAAATATCAAGTCGAAGTTACGAAAGTGGAGTTGATAAGACAGCAGGTAGTGGATTTGTAGAAGATGGTCGGTTGCCGACAATCACACTAACTTCGAAATTTCCGGAAGATTCGCAATGCAGGACAAAAGTGAAGCCCGAGAGGCTGGCATTACCTTGAAACGCAAAGGCCTGTGGCTTCTGACGAATGGAAGGATTTTTTTTGCCCATTGGTGCTTCCGTGAATTCTAACTCCACGAAGTGTGAAGTGACATCCAACTCCCAGGGATTAGGACCATCTGTGAACTGAGTGCAGAGAAACCGAAATAGTTATTTATGAGCTTTACAGGTAACTCCACTTAACCAGAGTTATAATGCAAAACTATAGCAGGGCTAATAGGCAAGAATGGAGATCTAACTAGGAGCTGACTCATCGAAGTGGAAAAGAGAATGATAGATGATATATTTCTGGTCTTGCGTTCTTGGTAAACCAACCTTGGTCAAGTTCATTCTAAACTCCGTATTTGAATGGGACATCAAAACAAGGCGGTCGAAGGAGATAACTGCGATATAAAACCACTTCTTAGGAATACAACAGTAGAATAATTGAATTCTTCAAAACGCTTTCTAAAAAAAGTTATTTTAACCCCCCCCCCCTTTTTTTGCTTAAAGTTAATAAGGCGAACAACATAGGGCCTGAAACCCATGAATCAGTGGAAAAAAGGGCGCTTCCGTTTTACCCAGGAGCTAAGACGTACTTCTGAATAGCCTCTGTGCAAGTACTAAGAGGAACATGAAGAGCTTTCAACGTGGAATGTCAAGTTGAAACAAAAACACTGTAACATAACGAAAAATGACTTAAATCTTTTTAATTTTTAATTGACAGAACGGCATGGGCAAATAAAACTTATTAAATGTTCAGCTATCTTTCTGGGGTAGCGCTTAAAAACCTGAGACAACAATCTTAATCTATGAAGGAACAAATCATTAATGTCTACTTTCGAAACCCATGTATGCATTTATAACAACCCTCAATATTAAAACATTTGGCAACTTTATTTAATTTGCGTGCTAACAATCTCCTAACCTGACTTATAATGAAACTTACAGAAATGCGTCTTGAAGACCCAGTGGCAATAGCAACAAAAGCATTATTTGGCACGAAGGAGATGTCCTTATATACGACGACAGGAAATTTTGAAATCGCCTTTTGCTCGCCTTTCTGTTCCCCAGTAGTGAAATAAGCCTCAAGTTCGGTGAAACCTTCTCTTAAGCCAATAACCCGAACAAATGCACAAGCACTTGAATTGCGTTCGTTTATGACTGATGGAGGGAGATATTGAACACCTAGGGGAAAAGAAGCAAAGCTTAGGTGGAGGGATTAATGAACAAATAGCAATACCAGTCGATTTAACTCACCAGGAAGCACTTTGACAAGAGACGGGTCAACTGGCCTTACACTAATTGGAAGATTATGGCAAAAGGTAATTGGATTTCCATCAAAATCGACTGCTTTCAAACCCACAGATAAAACAGAGTTGCCCATTTTTTCCTGTTGATTAAGAGGATGCTGATCAAATTGCTGAGAATGCGGTAAAAGATCTAACATATCCAGCTCAACTGGACGAGTAGACAATACTGATGAAAGACGATTCTCACTCTCACCAAGGGGATTTTTTGGCAAATAAATTTCAACCCGACCTTGCGAAAAGCCCAGATCAGCGAGGTAGTTAATATGGACTGTGGAATGAGAGCACATAGATGGATTGCGAAGGTCGGAGACAACAACCACAGCTGAACCAATTCCATTGACAAACAGAAACCCATCTTGTGATACGTTGGCTGCACTAACATCTTCATTATTTTTATCAGAAAGCACTGTCCAGATGTAATCCCCACTTCCGCCTTTGGCAGAAAGATTGAATCCTTCGCTGGTGTTCATTGATACATCCCAAGCGAGATGGACTTGCTTTGGATAAATTTGAATGGGTGAGTATGCAGCCAACTCTTGACTACCCATAATAGGGTGACTGAAAAGCTTCAACTTCTCATTACCAGTCATAACGCCCTCAAGTGTAGCCTTCACCGTAATCATTCCAGTCTTACGCGCAACCACTATATGGGATGTTCCATTCTGTGAGCTCTTTAAAACTTCCATAGAATCTTTAGGAAATTCCACGGAGATTCGAATGTTATCAGAAGGGAAAATGCGATGATTATTCTGATCATATAAATCTAACTGGAGATTGTATTTCTTCCCAGTTTCCAGAGTCCAATGGTTGAACTTTCCCTGACCAAATGCTTGTGAAGATTGGCGAGCAGCTTTGACGCATAAAAAGGCATCTTCGTTCACCGGCTGAACCGAGAATCGGAAGTAGGCAGGTTCAACTACATTAACTATTGACATGGGACGCCTGTGGTGAGCAACCATCTGTGGATCTAAGTCAATTGTGTCCCCAACATTTGATCCAAGTAAAGAAATTGCCTCCTCAACATCTACAGAATAAAGCTAAGACCTCCAAATAGACCTTACTTTTGTCCAAAAGAGTTACTGTAGTTTGCCCATTTCTTTCAGCATTAATCAAAGAGCCTGATTTGGCATCGAGTTCTACTATGCTTTCGTCAGACACAGAGAGATAGTATTGGTTTGAGGGCATTTTAACCTCTTCGTCAGCATCCTGACGAACTACGATAACTTGAAGATGGGCTTGCGCTTTCGGTATAAGATATAGAACGGGCGGATTCAGTTGAGCATTTGCCATAACGAGCAGACGAACCATCGCGGGGTGTACATGACTATAAGCAGGCTCTCGGAGAGCGGAGCTAACAACCGCTGAACCTGTTCGAAGACCACTAACCAATTGCATGTAGCCCTAAGAAACGAAACCATGTTTAGAAAAAAACAATTTACCTGCAGTCCATCCTCTTCCAACATACTAATTCGACCAGAGGTGGTATATTCGGATTCAGTCCAAGAGAGAAAACGAAGCACCCCATCCCCCGTCACCTTTGAATCCTTTTCGCTTCCAGGCTGGATCTTCCATTCAAAAGGAATTCCATCCAGACTTGAAAATTTATTTCCGAATTCATCATATGCGATAACTACTAATGACTCGGGCGTGTTATGAAGATAAAGCTCTTGTGTAGTTGTGTCAACTTTTATACTGTGAATGTCATCAACGATCACATCACATTTAAGGACATGGGAAGTAACTAAAGGTTTGTTCGGCATTTGAATAGATTAAACTGTCTACCTGTATCGCGAGCGTAAATTGTTGCTGTGCGGCGAAGGGAAGACTGCCAGACAGCGGTAACTGAAGCCTTTTCTGTACATGTCTTCCCAAAATCTCCTATGGGAACAACAGCGACTACCTCAGGAGTACCCGACCACCTGGAATAAAATGGTTTTAAAGCTCAATAAAATTACCATTCATAGCAGGAACCAGCCGAGCCACTAAGAGTATAATTAACAGAAGCAGTACTGAAATAAGGTAGCAAGAGTTTTGAATCGCTTAATTTGAATTCAGCAGCTGAGCATATTGTAAAGATAAGAAATATAGTAAGGCATGCACACAATCTCATGCCTAAACATTCATTAAGAGGGCTAGTATCACGTACCAATAGAAAAGCAGGAAATTTGCTTTAAAAACTGGCCAATGACCTTATGAGTAGAAAAAAATTATCTTAGAGACAAATTGAAGATCATTGAATAATTAAACCAAAGTACTTAGAATCATTTTCAAATAATTATTGATCTGTCAAAAATGAAATATAATAAAAAATAAGAAGGCCAACATTTACTTATTCAGTTATTAAAAGCTAAGTGACAAAAGTCTTTGATAAGCATTTCTTGGTCAAATTTTCTAAGAGACTGATCAAAAGAGATTATGCAAGCTTATTATCTTTTAATCAAAATGTACTCGAAAAGTTCAAATTATTTTATTTATTTATTTCAAATGGCAGGTTTAACATATTTACCATAAGCCCTAAGTTCAAATTATTATGATGATAATACTACTTATGAGTAATAATTTACTACTATAACTAATCTTTTTTGGCTTTTTACAAATAAATGTTGTGCATATTTCCTTAAGAAGTTCCTTGTTTTAAGCCCTTGGCAATACCAATACAACTACGTCTACGACTATCCAAGAAATAGATCCAGGCGGTGTTACAATTTATAAAAAATATAATTGAATTATTGATGCAAATTAAAATAACAAAATATTCTTAGGGAACTTAAACTTTAGTTTCAATTTGGGGCAACACTTACTTTAAGCTATTTACTCCACTCGATACAAGTACAAAATTCAAGGTCAGATATCACGCACGAATGGATCGTTTGAACGGGAAAGATTGTTGGGATATTCCTACATATTCACCTTCAGAAGAAGAATTCGTCGATCCAATAAAGTTTATTCAGCAAATATATCAATTTGCTTCGCAATATGGGATCTGCAAAATACGACCTCCAAATGTAATTCGCTCTTGTTTACTATTACTTTCACTGTAGTCTTGGAAGCCACCGTTTGCTGCTAATGATATGAAATTTACTTTTACTCCTCGCATTCAAAAACTCTCGGATGTTTCAGCAAGCAATCGTGAGAGGAGCAACTTTGTATCCTCACTAGTTAATTTTTGGGAATTACAAGTACTTCCTTTTCTTGATTTCATTGCCTTCTAGAATGTTGTGGTCTATGATCAATACGTAAAAGGAAAAAGGTTGGATCTCTTTAGTCTCTACAAATGCGTTAAACAGCTCAGTGGTTACGATAATGTATGCAAACAAAATTGTTGGAAAGATATTTGCCAGAAACTGGGTTTCGACACATATCCTGCCATTGCCTCTTCTATTAGTACAAAATACCGTAAAATACTGCTTCCATTTGAAAAGTTTGAAAACGCCAAATCCAAAACGGTGAGCTTTTTCTTATTGACATTATTCTTTGTATTCAGAACTTAGTTTGTGAAGATTCACACAATGATAATTCTGCTGATGATAAAACCAACTATTTCGCTTGCAAGAAGTGCAACAAAGTTGATAAACCTGATTTAATGCTGATTTGTGCAGAGTGTTGTTTTAATGGTGTCTATCACACCTATTGCCTTGATATGCCTCTTTCATACGTCCCTAAAAGATGGCTTTGCCCCAATTGCTTCACGAAACAATTCAATAAAAAGAATGGAGATGGAGAGTATGGTTTTCTCAGCTCAAAAAATACCTATACTCTCCGTAAGTTCTCCAATATGGCATTAAATTTCAAGAAATCATACTTTAATAAGCCCCTAACTGTAAGTAGCTCTGATTAGTAACCGACCGCTTACTTTTAGTCCATAACATTAGCGGAAGTTCGCGATGAATTTTGGAAGTTAGTTGGAGAAGAGGACTGTGAAGTCACCGTTGAATATGGTGCTGATCTACATTCCTCTAAAACAGGCTCAGGTTTTCCTACGAATTCAAACAACAAGAGAGTTCAAGAATACTGTTCCTCTCCCTGGAATTTAAACAACTTTGCTAAGAATCCCCTATCTGCACTTCGATATCTTCCTAATGACATATCTGGAATGAAGGTCCCATGGTGCTATGTCGGAATGGTTTTCTCTTGCTTTTGTTGGCATACTGAAGATCATTGGAGCTTTTCCATCAACTACCTCCATGAGTGAGTGTTTTTACTTAGATTTCTAAGTTTTCCCTGTTTAGAGGAGAACCGAAAACATGGTATGCTGTTCCGGGAGCCTATGCAGACGCCTTTGAGAGGGCAATGCAAACTGAAGCTTCTGAATTATTCGCCATATCGCCAGACTTGTTACACCATATGACCACAATGGTGCCTCCAGAGCGATTGCGAGCCCTAGGTGTGCCCGTCTACACTACTGATCAACTTGTTGGGGAATTTGTTGTCACTTTCCCACGGGCTTATCATGCTGGTTTTAACAATGGATACAATTTTGCTGAAGCTGTCAACTTCTGTCCAGCTGAATGGGTTAGTGAATATTTCAATTTGGCTCCTTTATTCCTACTCATTTGTGTCACAATCAGATTGATCCCTTCGAGCTTTTTACTTTACTTTCCATTTTTATTGGTTTCTAAGCCATTCACATATTTTCACATTGAGGGAAGTATTATGTTGCCATTGTCATTTAAATATTGGTTTCATGAGATAAATTTAAGTGGGAAGTTCTATTCCGTTTTTTATTCATTACGTCTCTGACTCGGTTTCGAGCTTATATTCTTGCTGCCCTACTTATAATTTTATATCATATAGAAGTTTGATACCAGTATTAAGATCAATTTTCCATAATGATTACTTGCTATTAACGTAACATTCCATATAATGAATAATATTTGTATTGAAGATGTAGTCAAGCGTCATTCATTTATTTTTTTGCTCACAAAATAGGATTTTATGCATAGCTCTGCACTATTAAGGATCCAATAGCGGTGTTAATTAAATGGCAGGCTTTATGATAGTTGTCATTAGTCCTTTAGTTGACTTCGGACTTCACAGATAAAAGGTCGAGAGGGGGAACAGGAGAGTGATTCAGATGTAAAAGTGACAGACACAAAGGTAAGGAAATAAGTAAGGTGGATACTGTGGAAGTGGTGGAATATGACATACAATGGGGTCATGGTAGTTTGAAGTCTGAAGTCAACTATTGGTTTTTTGACTTTTTTGCAATATGAGTACAGGCTGTATCACATGGAGGAAGTCTATCTCGCATGTCCCGCGATAATAATATTCGCTTCGCTGCCTCTGCTATTTGGTCACATTTTACGTTTTTAATCAAATGTCAAGTGTTTATCCGTAATATTGTGAACTTAAGTTAATCATATCTATCTTCAGACTTCCGATGTGCAGGTTCAGACTTAAGTCTCCATCGAACAGGTTATCATTTTTTCACAAGATAAGGTCTGATTACAGTAGCAATTGCTACTAGGCTTTAGTAGCTCCATATTTGTCCATATTAGGGGTTCGAAATGGCCTGTTTATTATCGGTTCGTTGGTGAAATAGAAGCTTAAAGCTATCACCATTAGGCATCATCTTTAAAAATTATTTCCGCAGCGTATTTTTCTCTGCCTCTTTTCCGTTTAGTTTCCTTTCGGATTTGATTGTGTGGATCACTATGCCCTTCTCCACCGACCCCCTGTCTTCTCTCACGCCGAATTGCTTTGTCGTCTGGCCCAGGATTCAAGTTTAGACAGTAGTGTTGGTGATGGTAAAGACCAAAAACTAGCTCCGATAACTTTCCTTCTCTCAGCCGCCGAACAATTTACCGCTTTGCTTGCCAAAGAACGCACACTACGCAGTCATCTTCTCCACGAGGGTGTTCAACATACTATAAGACGCATTCCGCAACAATCGGAAGGAGGTTTTTCGTCAATGGATGAAGAGGTTTGTCAGGAGTGTCAATTATGCAAAACAACCCTTTTTACATCGGCTCTTACTTGCTCCTGCTCGAAGAGTAAGTTGTGCTTCCTGTCGTAGTGGGTTTTGATCTTGGTTCCTTAATCATCGTTTTAGTTGAATAATCTGCCTTAAGAACGCAACATATTGGTAGCTACGCATTAAGAGCCAAAGTAATACATCATGTTGAGATTCATATCTTTCTTGGCTGTTTTTAATTGTGAATATTTAATTGGTTTTCCAATTAAATCCTGAGTTTTAAGATACGTTTGCATTTATTAAAATTGCAGTATAAAGCATTTTTAAGGCATAATTCCCTCCGAAATAAGTTTTTGATGAAAATTCTCTTGGTGGGGTTTGAAGGGTGTTTCCTCACAGAGATAACTAGTCTGATAATTTACCACCTCACCTTAGACAGACCATAGTCTATTTCTTGACATATATACTGTTATTCAACTACATTCTTAGGTTACCAAGAGGGTTATTAAGAACGAGCCCTCTTTTTGAAAAGTATGGTTATGTTGTCGTTCATTTTGTCAATAAAAGAAAGCTTTCGCCTGTATTTTCCGTCTTTAGTATATGCCATTAATTTCTTAATTTGCTAAATCAGTCTTTGTATCGTTAGAGCTAACTCGTGTCTCATTCACATCCCATAATTGTGTTCAATGAGTCAGTTCCCCTCCCCCCTCCCCCACCCCCCC